TCAGCTTTTGCTGAAATACAATTTGCGACCATCTGCTTCTGAACTCTCTGGCTTGGGCTGGCAATCCTGAAATGCCACCACTTATGATGTTCTTTGTTGTTCACCTCAGTGGCTGCTCCAGGAACGTGGACTGTTTGAAAATCCAGCAAAAAGAAAATTTATTCAGGAAAAATAAGGGACTAGAAGATTTCAACTGGAATCTTCTTTTCCATCTTTCAGTTTTTCTTCTGTAGTAGACGCTCTGTTTCTCCCACCCCAATCTCACACTTTTTCTAGTCTCATTTCCCAAAAATCTACCAAGTTCCCTGCAGGGGAATGAGTTCTAGGGAATGCAGGGATGAGTTCTAGGGAAGCTCTATTGATTTATATTAATATTAAATCAATCATGCAGCAGTCAAGGCCTTAATAATACATCTAAAGAATGTGATAATCTGAAAAGTATCCTCTGGAGACTCATACTGCTTTAAGAATGATACATTACTTCTGCAGCCAAGATGGAAATCAGCAATTAATTTCTATGGACACTTTCATTAGTGAGAAAAAGATTTTAAAATGCTGGATTTTTCCCAAATCAGGTAGGTTCTGCACACAGTGCTGAGGGTGCATTGACTGAGGGTGGACAGGACCATCAGTACCCAAATTTAGAGTGACTCAGAGTCATCAGACTGGTCCTTGTTGACCTTTTTAGGGCAAAAGTCACAGAGAGTGTGTAAGTAAAAGCAGATAAATACCTCTGAAGAACAACTCTCAAAGTTCTAGCATTCAAGGAGTTTTTGTTTTAGCATTTGAAAATGACCATACAGCAGCCAACAGTAGCAAAGCCCTTTAGCATTAACCTGAATAAGGAGATTTAACAGCTTATGTCTTTCTGGTGGAGCTGTTGATTGATTGTCTTGGTCCTTCAGTGCAATCATTGGGGTTTGGATGTTCCCAGAAATCATTATGTTCATTACAGTGGCTCCAGCTGCCCTTCATTAGCCAAATATAGGAAAATAAGGCAGATACAGGTGGATCATAGAAACAGAGTCAGTTTTTCCCTTCACTTCCCATTCCTCTCCCAAGTATTTTGTAAATTCACCTGTTCTGCTTGTGAGGACAACACTGGAGTCAGGAGATGATCCCTGAGCTTGGCCAACCCAAATTAATGATTCCATTCATCTGTGAGTTCTGGGGCTCACAAAACTGCAATAAATAGCAATGTGATGTTACCACTTTTTACATGGAGGCCATGGAACCAGATCCAGATCCTTGTGGCAAGAAACAGAACTCAGATTTAAATCCCCTGGTGTGCTTAAGTGAGATTATGCTGCCATTGCTCCTTATTAACCCAGGTATTGAATTTCTGTCACATCCAAACATCAAAAAGTAATTCCATTTCTCATATTTTTTTCTTCTGAGTAAAAATACTGGATGAATAGTTAATCTTTAAATGACAGTTTACCCTGAATGCTCTTTTTTGTTGTTTTTTGGACAGCAGAGTTAATAAGAATGGTTGGGCTGTTGACATAAGTGATGTATTGAATTTTAGAAAGCAGCTGCTGCAAATTAAGGGAGAGAATTAATGACTAGCATAATTAAAATATCAGGTGGTTGAGATTACTTAATGCAATAATACATGGTAACTGTTACTGTTTTCTCTAAACACCAGCAGTATTTCAGAATACACAATGCAATGCTCTTTTGTAGTGTTTTGGTGGGAAAAAATCACTTTCAAAAGTGCTGCTGTGACGTGAAAATCCAAATGTTCTCTGCTGGAATTCCAGTCATACTCCAGGGACCTTCCCTGATGAAGGCTGGACCTTCCCCTGGGAGAGGCAAGTGCTTGAAAGGGGTCTGGTCTGAAGTTCAGTTTAGTAAAGAGCAGAAAACTGGGATATTGGTTAATCCAGCCTGTGGGAATCACCAAACACCAGCGAGGGGAAGGAGGATTTAACACCTCTGAGTGTGACACCCAGCAGGTGAACAAAGGCGCTCAAACTCCTGAAAAGGCAGATTAAGTATTAAAAACATGCACCTGTAAAGTACCTTTGTGTTTACTGCCTGGAGTTATTTTACAAGCTGTCACAAATCCCATTATTATTGTCATTTTTTACTGATGAAAACACTCATTTACCTATTAAATTGAAATGTTCCACCAAAAATTGTGGAGTCAATACAGCCCCTCTGAAATGTGTGAAATTTATAAAAATATTCTTTATGTGTCTAATGAGAAAAACTGAGATGATAATTAAACTCAAGCATGTGAGCAATGTTTAAAATTTTAATGGAAACTGTTGGAAAATCTCCATCAAAATCAAACTGAGTTTCTTGTCAGGTTAAGAGGACAGAGAAGCCACAAAAGTGATCAACAAATTATTCTGCAAATCTCAGTGTGGATTTGGTGGATCTGTGAACCTCACCTAGCTCTAAAGTGACCTTGGATGCTGCCAAATGTTGATTTTTATAAATGGAAAATGGCAGAGAATGGTTATTTAGTGACAAGATTGCATTCACTGTTATGGCTTCACTGAATGCAATTTTTTCTACTAAAAAAAATCTTACAACATTACAGTGAAATACAAAAATGTCATCTGAAGTTGAAAGACCTTCAAAAAGAAATTAAAGACCAGTAAACACTTCAGATTAAGCATATAGATATGATTTAAACTTGGAATATTAAGGAGGTATCAGAAGAAAACACTAAAACTTCTAGAAGTTAATCACCTGAAGCCAAGAGGATTTATAATTGTTTATTAAGGACTGGAAAGAGCCAAAAAACCCTGTTTGTCTCTACGATAACACAAAGCAGCACAGCCAAAAGTGGTCCTAAAAGTACCCATGAAATCAATGTAAAAAATCACTGGTTCTTTCTCCAGGTGTGCAGCTGCTGCAGTAGGAGAGGAAAAAGGCTTTGAAAAGTTGTGTTCATGGGGACTATGAAGCAGCAGAACTCCTGTCCTGCACAATTTATACAATTTATCTGTGCTTTTCCACTTCCCCTCAGGCTTAGGGCTGCTGCCTAAATTCACTCCGAGCCTGGTTACAAAATAAAATTTAAAAAAGCTCCAAACTTGGGCTTTTTCAGACCCACAGCAAAGGAATGTCATGCCAGTTTTTAAAGGTTAGTTAGTGGAAGGATTGGTGAGAGTCCACTTGTGTCCTGTTTCAAATTTGTCTCTGTTTTGGTGTTTCTCAGAAAGGTCGAGCACCTGCCACAGAGTGACAAAAGAGACAAGGAAATCTGGCTGGATCTCTGTCACTCACTGCTGAAATCCACACTTGGGGAGATGTCCCAAATTCTGTGAATATTACGAGCTGAAGTTAGAGGGGAAAAGCCACAACTATTCATGGATAAGAGAAGGGAAAGTGGATGGTGACAGAAGCTGAAAATATGTGACAGGCTTAAATGAAAAATTGTACTTCCTAACTAGCACAAACAATTATTTCATTCACGTTCATTTTCATCAGTGTTTTACCCACACAAAGCTCAACCTCCTGGTAAAAGCTGTACTCAGATATTCCTAAAACTCTTCTGCTGCCAGGAAATTAGACTTGAATTAGAGATTGCCAAATGACACTACATTTTTACCAACATGTGTAAGCAGATATCATTTCTGTAGATTCCCAACCTGACTCACCCATCCCTGGAAGTGTCCAAGGTCAGGCTGGACAGGACTTGGGATCGTGGAAGGTGTCCCTGCCATGGCAGGAGTGGAATGAGATGGATTTTAAGATCCTCCCAACCCAAACCAGTCTGGGATTTGCAGGTACTGAGAGCTGTCTTTGAGATGTTACTGCACTTGTGGTTATCAGGCTGGATGAGAAAAACCCAGATGATAATGAAACCAATAAAAATGAGCAGCTGGATAACCTGACAGGGATAGTTAAGGAGAAGCCAGGCAGCTCCCACTGTGTTTTATGATTGTCAGGGCTCTGCATGGGAGCAGATGACTGATGGTTGGTATTATCAAGCAGAGTGGAGAATCTCCTGTTTTAACCTTTCATTTGTGCAACCTTTCCTGTGTGGGTGAGGTTGTGCAGCTGAATTTCTTATTACTTGGAAGGGAATGTATTTGTCTCTTTTATATTGGGCATGATCATGATTTAGCAAAGTTCTCACATAAGAGAACTGCTATAAGCTGTTCAAATGGATCTGTAATTACAAAAGGGCTGAATCCACCCTCAAGTTTTATTTCTTGGCATCTCTGCATGGTTGTCTGTTTTCCTACGACACTAAAAAGAAAAGAGATTTAAAGAGCAGACTTTAGAAAAAATTACCTGTTCTAAAGAGGTGGAAAAGGCAGCTAAACAAAAAACATTGGTATCCAGATTTACTGGTTTGTGGTTTGGTTGTGTCTGAAGGTTAAATAATGTGCTATGTATTTCAAAGGAAAGGAACATTTTAACTCCCAAGTGCATAACTACAGCAGGAAATAGGGCACACATCAGTTTGCCATCATTACATCCAGGGAAGGCATAAACAACACAAGATATTCACACATTTGATATTCCTGGTAAAATTCCTTGGAGCCTGAGTGTTTTCCAGTGCTGGACAATCAGAAAATAATTGCACAGACAAGTCCACTTGACAGCTATTAGGCCATTTATTTAGGAATGCCTGGACTAAAATGGAGTAAGGTCACCTGCATTAGTCCCAGTTCTGCTGTGCCCAAACTCGTGTAAGCACTAGTGACAGCCAGGAAAGAACACCAAGGCCACTGTCCCCAGCACCTGAGGCCTCCAGCAATCACAGTCCATCCAGTCTTAGCCAACAGATGTCCAGGAATTCCCCACCAAATCCATTTCTTGTTATCAAATGGAAAATAATTTCTCATGGGAAACCTCAATTCTGAGAACAAAGAACCTCAGTTCTGAGAACAAAGCACAGGAACCTCAAGGTTTGTAAAGTTAAACTCTCACATCATTATCTCAAGGTAGAAAGACCTCACCTGCCAGGACTAAAGCAGTGGTTTCCACCTTCAATCCCATTTAAATTTGGCTATTTTGTTCCACTTTTGCCAGTGCATTCCAACCACCTACAAATTGCCTTTGTGGGACTCAAGAGAGGATCCACCCAAAAAACTCCATTCTTAACCCAAAAAAATCTTGTGTGCTCTTGATCATCATGATGGTCATAAAATCTACATCTGCCAGTGAACACATCAAATTTAACTGCAAACAAATTTTCTGCTGTCATTACTCTATATTCCAAAATGATTTCACTTTGTTACCTGCACAAAGACATCATTAATTCCTTCCCACCTCTCAAGAAAAAAATATCCCTTCTTTACAAACTGCAGTTACATTTGTTATACAGAAATATATGGCATACAGGATGCTGTAAGGGTGCAAAGAGGGTGAAATTAGTAAAATATAATTCCACATGATGGAATGATTGGATGAGTTGTTTACTTCTGTTACTTAATTGAAATGATACTGACTTGGAGGTGTTCCATAATTTCAGTCACAGAGAATTAAAAGTGCACTTTTCTGTTTTATTGGAACCTTTGCTGTTATTTAGTGGTATCTGCAGAACAAGGAAGGGCTGAAATTGCCTAAAAAAATTAGGAATATGATTATTTACCATGCAAGGGCTCTAGATTATGTTTTTCATTCTGCAGTCTTTCACCTTTTATGTGTTTCCTTCATTCCTTGACAATAAAAAATAATTAATACAGATGGCACATGGTGTTTTTACAGTAACTTTTCTGCTCATGCTTTATTTTTTCCTCAGTTTCAATGACATTTTGCTGAACGTCTTTTCCAAGAATCCTATCAAACTGGCAAAAACCGTAAATAGAAGTCAAAATTTTCTGTTTAAACAGAATTGTATTTGGAAGAGTAAGCTGCAGTCTTCTACCAAGCATGTTAAGAGATGTTTATTTAGCCACAGACTGGCTAAAATAATGCAGCTGTCTCCTTTTTTTTTTTAGGTATAATTTAGGTCATAACATTAAAGCTGATGGAGCAAAGTCGTATTTTCATCAGGCACTTTGCCCAGTGTTGGTTCTTTCCTAGATGTGCTCTGCATCTTTCTTGAACCACAATCCCGTCCTGCTGTACAATTTTACTACTCAAAAACCAAGAAAAAAGCACAACTCCTGCTCCCAAAGAGGCATTATGCCAGAAAAGCAGCAGCAAGAGGAGCAGGCTTGCAGAGGAACCCAGAACCCCTTGCATGTCACAGAAGACAGTGGCATGAGAAGTGCAGGAGCACAAAAGGCACTTCAAGTCAGGCCAAAAATCAAGAAAAGAGATGGTATCAGAGGATTTGTGAATTCAGCACCTCTCAGTGGCTAAGCCTCTCCTCTCGTACATGACACACCTGGCTGTATCCTCAGGAACAGCTTTGTCCAGGTCCTTCTCCCACATCAGGGAAGAACTGCCACACCACAGTGCTGGAGTGCTCCTGATCCCAAAAGCTTTTGGTCAGGTTTAGTTCATGGAGCAAAATTGCAGCCTTAAAAAGCCAGACAAGAAAACACTCCTGGCATTAAACTCTGGCAGCACAAAGCATCCTTAAATCTAAACAACCCAAGCAGGAAAGCAAAGGTGGGTTATTCGCTGCAGGCATTTTTCCTGAAATATAGTGCTTATCAAAAGGGGAACTTTCAGAGAAAGAGAGCAATTTTGACACAAGTTTTAATCACATTAAACAAAAGTTGTCACCCCTCAGCTTTTCCTCCCATATGAGAATAGAATATAAAGTGTCAAAACTGTTCTGAGTTGCAAAAATATACCAATTTCATACTTTAGATACGTCTTTTAATTTTTCATTCAGAACACTTCTCCTTTATAAGTATCTCTTTTTTGTTGCTGTTGTTTTTTATCCTCTCTCTTCAATTTTTAAAGAAAACAGATTGACAAAGGATTGAACAACCCAACAAAGCAACACCATTTCATTCCAGCTCGACTCAAAACACCTTCCTCCATTCTCCCTGTCTCTCCCCTCAACCGGGAGCTCCTTTTGCTTCGACTTGAACTTCATTTCCGATTCTTTTCCCACCAAAAATGAGAACCCCCCGAGCATCCATCCAGCTCCACAAACAGAAAGGCCTCGTGCAGAGAAAAAGGCATGAAGAGATGGGCTATGTAACTCTCACTACGACTACAGCCAGGCTGAGAGAAGCAGAGCCGGCGCCGAGCTCTATCGCCGCTGCCACCGCCGCGCCCGCTGCCGCAGCCGGCGCGCCGACAGCCCGAGGGGCTGCTTCCCAAACTTCCTCATGATCTCCTTGATCCTCGCCAGGTTGGTCTTGGAGATGGTGAAGTCGCACTGGGTGGCCCCCATGTCGTAGCCCACCTCGCAGGTCTTGGTGGCGGTGGTGTAGCCCTCGGCCTTGACGCCCACCACGTACTCGCCCGGGTTGAGGAGACGCCAGTAATCCCCGTCGGCTCCTGGTGGGGGAAACAGAGATGGTTTTCAGGATTTTGGTCCTTTCTCCTTGAGGAGAGTGGTGTTTAGAAAGTCACAGAATCGCTGAGGTTGGAGAACATCTCTGAGATCGTCAAGTCCAACTGTCAGCCATCGCCATCACGGTGACCACATGTCCTCATGTGCCATGGCCACAGATTGTTTGAACACTTCCAAAGATGGGAACTCCACCACATCCCTGGGCAGCCTGCTCCAGTTCTTTAAAACCCTTCCCATGAAGAAATTTGCATCCAAACCTTTCCTGGAGCAACTTGAGTGCATTAGATGAGGACACAGAATCACACAGGAAGGAGCCCACAAGGACCATCGAGTCCAACTCCCAGCCCTGCACCAGCCTCAGGAGAAGTCCTTGGCCATGGGTAAGATGACACCACAGGTAAAACCCTCCATCCTCACACCAGGAGGGTGTCCAAGGGGCTGCCCCCACAACAAATACCCCTCCTGGTATTTCATTTCCTGGACAGGAAATGAATACACAAAAGCTTGGTAAGTTCAAAGGAAAAAAGGGGATTTTATTCAAACTTCTGATATTTATAGAATTCCAAAGGTGACCGTGGATTGGAAGGTGGAATTACCACCTCTCCAACCACACTGGTCCAAAGATCAATCAATCATTTCTCTCCACCCACAGAGAACTATGTAAACTATTCCATTTTTACATGAAATTGTGTAGAAACTCTGACTCTCAAATATGTAAACATTATCAGAAGGCTAAAGAAGTTTTATGAGAACTTTAACACTTTCAAAAGAACTATAAAAGAAAACTTAACATTTCTAAAAATCAGGGCAACATCTCCTTCTCCTGCAAACCCTAGAGAAAAACACACCTCAACAATATTTTCCAAATGATACAAAAAGCAAACCAGCTGTAGGTTTTTGACAATTGGAAAGGCCTGAGGCAAAATCTGGTGATTCCCATGGGGTTGAAAAGACCTTTCCCAAACGAATCCTAATTGAGGGGTCCAGAGGAGCCCCAGTGAAATATCCACATCACACAACCCTGATCAGACTGCCAGGACATGGATTTTGGTGCTATTTGTTAGGAAAAGTGTGCGAATACATAACATGAACTCACTTTGAGGTGTAAAAAAATACTCCTTTCTATTAAGCCTTACATTGGGGTTTATTACACTGATTTTCCTACGAAGTAAATTCACCAGGATGTTTAACTACCTGGTTAAATGTAGATGCACAAACCAAGCTCTTGCAATCAACTAACCTACTCATAAAAATGTATTTTAACACCTCATTGAATCAGGAGTTTTGGTTTTCTTCTGAGATATACCCATTTTATGTACCCATATGGGCAACAGGATCGTTTTAGGCTTCTTTTAAATATGATTTTAACCACTGAGTATTCTTAGCTCTAAATTGAAAAAGGGGAAAAACTATTACCTAAAATTAGTTTTGCACTCTGTCCTGGAGAAACTCCCTGTGAATGAAAGTACAAATTCAAATATGCAATTCCATGTAAAAATAGAAATGGAACATATTCTGCATGAGGAGGGGTTGGGGTTTTTTAGCACTGATGAGACCTGACAGCCTTACTAACACCAGCCTGGGCTCACTGGCAGTGAGTAGCAAAAACTGAAGATGATTTGCATAAAAACATTATATTTGGAGAAGTGTCAGGCTGGTCAGCCTGTTAAAAGAAAAACCATTTTAATTTAGGGTTTGGTAAAATAAAAAATCTGTTTGCCAACAGCAAGTGTTAACGAATAGCAATATTGACTTTACCCTGATAGAGCAGCCTCAGAGTGTGCCAGAATTGTACCTGATCAGGTCCATTCTTAGATCTCAATATGATCAGGGGGTTTTTAAGTCAATTTGACCACATTTGGGGTGATAACAAGGCCCAGATTTTCTGCTCCTCATGAGTCAGGTGTTTTTAGGAAAGGCTCTAAGAGAGGCTCTTTATTTAGTTCTCCTTCACCACTGAGACTGTTGGAAGCTAAACAAAAAACCAAACCACAAATCTGCCCAAATTCCTCCTATTTATCCCCCAGGGCTCATTTTTAGCTGTAAATGCTCTGGCAGTGGCACGGGGCAGGCAGAGGGCTCTGCATCCTCCCGTGTGTGGCTGTGATCACATCCCTGCTCCCAGCCTGCCTTTAGCCCCAGGACTGCAAACCTGACCCACATTTTTCTGACACATTTAACAGTCACTTCATCACAACCCCACACAGGGCCAGGAATAAACCTACACATTCACACCCCACTGGGAATTTGTTGCAAAGCTGGGTATTAAGCCTTCAGCAGGATGCACTTTCCCTGCTTTCCACTTAGAATCAAGCAGACAGGAGTATTTCTGTCAGTTGTCAGTGCCCAGAATTTAATACCAGGCTAAAAGGTTGGGTTTTTTTTGAAAATCAGATTAAATCCAGTTAAAAAAAATATTTCAGAACAGATGGCAAAAAAGAAACACAATTAAAACACGGATAAATTTAGTAAATAATAGGTTTGCTGAAATAATAGGTTCCAGTGGGAGCAGGCTGGAGGCAGACTGCATCCATACCCACCTACTGGGGCTGGAAGAGGATTGTCATGTCTGCATAGATAAAATGCATTACAGGACAAAGATAGCATTCCTATGAATTTAATATGTCAGACTACTCCATAAATTTTGCAATTAAGAGAAATGTCCTTTGAGCCTGATAGGACAGGCCTTAGTTACAATTAAGTAATTGTAAAAGTGCAAAAGCAATTTTTACATTTAAAAGTACCAAACTGATCTGATTTAAATAGATTATAAAAATCTTTCTAATGCTTTTTTGCCAACATAAGACTCTCCAGGAAACCTAGCCATAGTGCTTCATACTCAAAGCATGTAAAAACTTAAACTCAACTTTTCCGTGTGGACTAGGCAGCCAGGAGTGAGGCTGCAGAGTTGTAATACCAGAATTATGCTTAGCTTGGTCTAATTAAATAAATATTTACTATATAAATATATTTAATATATTAAATATTACTAAATGCTACATCAAAATCCTTTGGTTTTGGTACATAAAGTATACTGAAATCACTGCAAGCTTACCAAGATATTAATAAAAATTTCTCTGGACACTGTGTGGAATTAAATTAATTACACTTTGGTTCAAAAACCACACAGAAGCATCTGTCTTTGAAGTCTGGCTGTGACACAGAAGTGTTTCACCAGGAAGAAACTGCACATTTCTCCATCAATATTTACTTTATCATTTCCCAAATTACAGGAAGCAACCCCCAAATCTGCCTTGGCACCATGGAGGGGGAAAGGTGTATTTGTTCACCCAACTGAACTCTTTTTCCAGAGGTTTTCTCACAGAGTCCAGCCTAAATCTGACTGTAACAACATGGAATCGCTCAGACTTAATCAACAGTTACATCTGCATTGAGGGAAAATGCTGGAATAATTCCTCACAAGAAGCTTTGCTCTTGTAATCAATGCCTTCAATTAGCCCATTAATGGTGTCAGCTGAATGCCAGCATCCCTCTCCTTCCATCAGGGATATTGTATCCAGGAGAAAGCCAAACCAAGCTGCTTTTATTTCAGCTCACAGGAAGAGGCAAAGGAATTTTCTCAAATCTTTAAATGTTATTACAGGGCTTTTACAGGCAACTTGTGTCTGGCTCTACGGGGCAGCTGACCACGTTAATGCAGCAGTGAAACAGCAGAGCTCAGCTCACTTGAAACAAAACTTTTGTGAATAGAGATACTGGCCATAATTCTCCTGCCTGGCCTATTTTTATATCAAGGCAACTCAGAGGTTTAAATGGGCATATTTTTCATTTTAAAAGGTATAAATGAAAGAAGACTGCTGGCAATTTGCCTTCTTTCTCTGGAGTTATACATGTCATTTTAGCTTTTTGGCTCCAGCATAAATCCTCTAGTTTCAGGGACTAATGAGACGTGTATTGTTATCTGGATAATATGAAACAAGATAGAATTTTATGTTCCCATCTCCACAGTGATTCCAGAGTGTGAGCTTAAACGTCTCATTAAAAAGAAAAATTAAAGGGAATGAAATAAGTAGTTTTATTTTTACTAACAAGTGCAGATGGCCTTGAGCCATAGAGGCTCAGCAATAAGTCAAGATGTAAATAGCTGCAAGATTCCCTGAGTGTTACAAGGTGGATTTTGGGATCTTGCACATTTATTGCACTTTAATTTTTTTTTCATATGACAATCCAGAGCACAGAGAGCTGGAGATTAATCACATATTGCATTAACTCAGAGCAATACATTAATTTTGTTAACAGAGCAATACAACCCACACTTTATGGCAGACTTTCAGCACTGCTGAGGCTTCCAAGACAAGAAAAAACAGCTGATTACTTTAATTCCCACTGTCGTTTCCCAGTGGTCCCATTTTGAAATATTTAAGGCAGAATCATTATTGCCTAATTAAGTATCTGTCATTCAATGCTTTCTTTTACAATGGAGACACAGTAGGCACTAAATTAATAATAAACTAAGTTAGATATTCCAAGATTCAATGTTGGTTCAGATCACCTCTTGTGGCAAACATTAAAGATTTGGAAGTCACAAAGCTCTGTGGTATTCCATGGCCTGAAATCAGTTTATGTGTCCAAATCTGCCACTCTGTACCTCAGTGGCAGAGCACATGGAAGTGGCAGCAAATGAAGAACACAAAACACCCATAAAGAGATAAAAATACATAAAATTAGCATTCAAAACACATGTGGATGTGGTACTTAGGAACATGGTTCAGTGGGTTTTTTTTTAAACCACAAATCTGTTCTTTTGCACTGATGTTTTGCATTTTTATTGTGTGTTTTTTTTACCTGTGCGAATGTCGTGGTTAACACCTTCCACTGAAATAACAGCATTTGGGATTCCCTTTCCATGCACATCTTTCACAATGCCTTTGATGCCACGATGGACCTGAGAAAAGAATAAAAGAAGCAAGTAAATATTGCACAGCAAAGAACAGTAGTATTCCTAAGAACTTACAATGAATCTTTAATTCCACAAGTGAATTCTAATTTTATATTCCTACTTTATGGCTCACAGCATTGTGGAATATCATTATTAACCTTGTAGCAGCCCTTCAGGCATTAACTTGTGAATCAGTTTGGGAATTTTGTTAGGATTCCCAAGGCATCGAATTCAAGATACAAGTACAAAAAACAGATGAAGCAACAGACACAATATCAGGGTCTTTTTCTAGCAGCCCTTTCTGGCAACCTCAGCATCCACATCAAATTTTCAGAAGCTTCATTACTTTATTCCCTGAAGTCAAACCAGCCTGGCTGAAGTGCAGTGTCTATCAAAACTAATCACATAATTAGTCATACAAAAAAACCAATAGGTGTTGGAACCCTAGTTGCTAAGAAATTTAGACTTTGGACTATCAGGCACTGACCCCCAGAAACCACTACATTTAACCTAAAACTATTAAAAAACTTCAAAAATTGAATAATAAAATTAAAATTGTAAGTATGTAGTTTAAATAAAAGTGTATGATATCACATAATAGAAAACTTAAAGTTTTAGACTATAATAATATGTATAAAATAAAAAAAGTTTTAAACCAGAAATTAATCCTTCTTCTTTACCTTCTTCTTCACCTTCTTCTTCATAAATTTAAGTAGTATTATATCATTAAATAAAAAAGTCCACATTACAAAACCCAAGTAATTGAGTTAAAAATAAAAATAATGTAAGTATCATTTCTTAATTTGAAAATTTATACTTTAAAAATCTTAAAAAAATACAACTCCATTTTTTAGTTGATCAATAAAATACTCTAAAACTCACAACTTACAAAACTGTAAATTTAAATATTTAAATTTAAATAAATAAAAAATTTAAATAAAATCTAATAAAAATCTAAATCCAAACAAAAAATACCAAGTGAATACCTGTTCCATAAAAACAATCAGGGACTCGCGGTTGTTTTCCCACTCCTCTGGCAGCTCGCTCTCGTGGGGATATTTGTCACAGCCAACATAGATGGAGAGCTCAAAGCAGTTTGTGTGCAGGTAGCTGAAGTCATTGATGCCTGTCAGTATTGGGGAAAAAGGGAACAACTTCATGGCCTTTTTAATCTATTGATCAGATCTCAGTTTTTATGCAAATTAATGGAACTTCTATAAACACAAGTTGGGTATTCATCCAGCTGGCTTAGCCCACAGATTTGGAAGGGCAAAAAGGTTTTAGAAATGCCAAATGTTCTGTAACAAAGAACCAGAGTGCTCAAGGCCAGGTTGGGCAGGTGTCCTGGGTTGGAAAATGTGGCTGGGGCAAGGGGAGTGCGTTCTGTTCCCATCTGCCAGAGCTGGTGCAGTTCTCTCTGTTCTTTGGGCAGTTTTCTTTATCTCTTCCACAACAAATCCTCCGTCCAGGAGATATCTCCTGTTCATGGTCCATTAATTATTAATTATCTTCTGTTTATGGCCACTGAGCATCCTTTCATGGCTGAGAAAATTCCATCATCCATGGGGAGATTCTCCACCCAGGGGAGGAGCCAAGCATTCCTACCTGGATACAATCTGACCTGGGAA